TAAGAATATATTCTTAAATAAAAAATATATTCTTAATTTCAGAAGAATATCATCTAAAATCTTTAAGAAGATTTTTTAAGTATAAAATCTACTTACAAGAATATAATTTTTTTGGTGTATATATATATATATATGTTATATATATATATACACGTACACCGAGAAAATTGTATTCTTGTTTTGAGGATATCCCACTTACTTTAAGTATATTTTATACTAAACTAGGCGCCAAGAAGAATTTCTTATTTTAAGAGGAAAATCCTCTAAATAGTAATATTGATTAGAATATAAAAAGCCTCTATAGAAAAACATATATATCTCACTATCGAAAAAAACTATATTCTTAAATAAAGAATATATTCTTAAATAAAGAATATATTCTTAATTTCAGAAGAATATCATCTAAAATCTTTAAGAAGATTTTTTAAATATAAAATCTTCTACTTACGAGAATATAATTTTTTCGGTGCAAGAACAGAAGGACACTCCTGAAAAGTGCGTTGAGTGCGTGCCGCGTCAGAAATGGACGCGCGAAAAATTTGAAACTCGGACTCTGATCGTTTTCTGTACGAAAACATACGTCCTTCCGAGAAAACGTCGTAGCAATAGCAAGAGAAGCAGCCGCCAACTTCGACAGCAATTTCGGAGCAATATTCTTGAAATAACACCAAAGCCTTCTCTTTTTTTTTTTTTTTTTGCTCTTTACCCTACCTACTTTAGGTTCACGAGAGAAATTGTCGACGGCAATTTTTCTAAACAACCGCTGTTCGGAAAAAAAAAAAATAGCGGAGTGCGCCGGTAAGTATTAAAATAAACGCGACTTCAATAAGATATGAGAACGCGAATTTCGCGCTGACGATCGAACCCGAAATTACGGGACACGGACCGGCATTAGCAGCTAACGCGCGCAGCGTTAGTTCCCCACTTGACTGTGAACAATGTCTTGGAAAGACGAAGTGGCGTACGCTATGACTCCCATCAAACTTTTAACTGTACCCGTAGGTGGTTGGCCCCTGCAGGATTACAACAAGTTTGCTCTGGCGCGTCACATCGTGTCCAGCTGCGGACTGGTACGTTTAAAAAAAAAAAAAATAATAAAAAATTATCCACCGCTCACGTGTTCGGCTTGTACGAAGTTCCGTGAACGTGTAAGTTCACGTATATAGCACGGGTTTGTTCGACGTGATATATCAACGCGACGGTAAAAAAAAAAATTAAAGACACGATGAATAATTTTTCTGTTTTCTGTGCAGAGCGTGATGGTTGTGGTGCAGTATCTCGAACTCTACTACAATTGCACCAGCGCGGTCGCGAATCTCGACGCTTTGACGCTCTTCGCGTGCGGCATTCTCGCCGTGTTGAAGATCGTGTGGTTCCGCGTGTACGCCGACAATCTCACGTGCAATTATTCTTCCGCCATGAGCGATTATCGCGCGATGGACACCGAGGAGAAGCGCGTTATCGTGCGAAAACACGCCTTCTTCGGGCGAATAATCAGCATCATCGCCCTGTTGATCTCTTACGTCGATTCGGCGGTGTTTATCGTAGGACACGCGCAAGTGAGCAGCGAGGAGGCTCATCTCAACATATCCGTCTGGGGCCATCGAGCGGGATACGCCGTTCCGTCAACGTGCACCTTGGCCCATTTTAACATCTCGACGGGTTTGTATCTGATCATTTTCGCGCTGGAGTGCATCTACCTCGTTATTATGTGCATTAGCAATCATGGTAAGCTTGCGATACAAAAAATAATTAAAAACATATCGGTAGATTTAAAAATACTAATATCTCTCTAAAAAATTTTCTCTCTCTCTCTCTCTCGTAGTATAATTATATTTAAATTAATTATATATTATAAACAACTTTTTGCTCGTCATATACGCATTTTTGCGCATTTCTTCTGCTTACGCAAATAAATATTAAATAATTTTAATTTTATTGATATTTATATTTTTTTAATAGTTTTTAAAATGAATATTTTATAAATTTTTTATTTTATTTTATTTTGATTTATTCGTAAATGCATCAATTCACGTGGTTGCAAAATATTCTCAATATCGCGATAATTCAAGGTAGCGATGCTCTGTTCCTTCACATTACGTTGCACGTTTGCGGCCAGTTGAAAATTCTGAAGATCCAGTTCAACAACTTCGACGTTGCGAGTCCGAATGTTTACGAGCGTTTTAACGCGCTAATCTTACGGCACGATCATTTGATAAGAATGGCCAGGAAACTCGCTGATGCAATTAGCTTTGTGCTGATAGTGCAACTTTTTATCAGCAGCGTGCTCATATGTATAGTGGGTGACTATATTATTTTATATTTATTTATGTTTGCGCGCACATTGACAAGAAGATCTTTTACGTTATACAACAAATATTTAAGTTAATCAGATTTTCTTTGTGTTGCAGGATTTCAATTTATTATTGCGATGACAACCGGCGATTTTGGCATGATGTCGAAAAGTTTCATGGTGCTTAGCGCTTTTCTGGCGCAGCTGACGGTATACAGTTTCGTCGGTGATTACTTGAAATCGCAGATGGAAGAAGTCGCTCTGTCCGTTTATCAGTGCGACTGGTACAATCTTCCCGCGAAGTTGGCGAGAAACATGGTCTTCATCATGATGTGGACTCAGCTCCCGATCAAACTTCAAGCTGGAAATTTTATCGTGATGGATCTGGCGACCTACATGAGCATTCTGAAAACGTCTGCTTCGTACTTGTCCGTCCTTCGTGTAATGGTGGAGACATAAAACGCGCTCGAAGCAATTAAACAAAAATTTCTACCAAATGGATATCTAGAAACACAACAATATAAAAACATAGTTTTAAAAAAATTGCTAATTACGTTATTATTTGCCAAAATATACAAAGCGTTAAACAATTAATGTAAAATCTCTCGTAGGCACGTAGAAGGAGTAAAACTGAGTCGAAAAGTCCTAAACCATTTTTTTCTATTACATATAATAAAGGAGTAATTATTGAATAAATCAAGTCAATCAGCGCCGACCTTTAGCCGGGCTCACGTCACGACCAAATCTAAATGTCGTTTAATCCGACAGCGGAAATTAATTATAATTACGGCTTGTCCAAATATAAATGTCGTAGAATCCGACAGCGGAAATTAATTATAATTACGGCTTGTCCAAATATAAATGTCGTTGAATCCGACAGCGAAAATTAATTATAATTACGGCCTGTCCAAATCTAAATGTCGGTTAATCCGACAGGGGGAATAATTTATAATTACGGCCTGTCCAAATTTAAATGTCGTTTAATCCGACAGCGGAAA